GTGTGTGTGTGTGTGTGTGTGTGTGTGTGTGTGTGTGTGTGTGTGCGTGCGCGCACGTGTTTGTGTGTGTGTGCTTGTGTGTATCTGTGAGTGTGTGTCTGTGTGTTTGTGTGTGTGTCTGTGTCTCTGTGGGTGTTTCTGTGTGTGCATGCACACGTGCTTGTGTGTGTATGCACATGTGTTTGTGTGTGCGTATGTGAGTGTGTGCATGCACACGTGTTTGTGTGTGTATGCGTGTGTGTATGTGCATGTGTTTGTCTGTATGTGCGTGTCTGTGTGCATGCGTGTGTGTGTGTGTGTGTGTGTGTGTGTGTGTGTGTGTGTGTGATCGGATCCAGTTCGGCTGGCAGCCAGTCAGTCCGTCCACTGCTGGGACTGTCAGCAGCTTCTTTCTCTGTCAGGTTAACTGTGGTTGTGTGTCTGTAAGAGACGGGATCCACATGCACCTACCACAAGCTCCTCAGCTCATGTTCTTTCATCACGCCAGTCACTAGAGATGGTTTTCTCTCTGCTGGTGCCTGATATCTAGGTTCTGGCCTGAGCATTGACATCCTGCTCTCCCTCCCTGGGGCTCCACAATGGTTTCTTTGCAGCCTTGGAGATGCAAGGCTTCCTCTGAGAAGGCTTTTCCAGCCACCTGGCTGAGGGACATCATCCTGTCGGAGCGTCTGCCTGTCCCAGCCATCAGATGCCATTCAGCTCTCAGGCTCCAAGACATAAAAGTGCCTTGACTTGCCCTGCTCGGAGAAGACATGTGCATAGGTACATGGCAGGCAGGAGGGTGTGTGTGGTCTGGTCTCTGTGGGGGAGGGTGCTTTTCTTCTTGTTTTTCCTCTCAGCATGGCTAGCTGCAGCCAAGACCTTCTTTCCAGGACACACTGCAGGGTCAGGCTTTGGCCAGCCGAGATCATGTCCTCCATGAGCAGGTGCTTTTTATCTGGAATCAGCTTGAAGTCAGGCACCAGAGCTTGAATACCAGCTCCTAATGGGACATCGAGGACCAAGGACATGCAGTCAAACTCAGAGCAGACACACGATTTGGGAGACAGATAGTGAACAGGGCTGAGACCAGTGCTCAGGGATGAACAGCGGGTAACCAATCTACGGCTTGCTTGGGCCAGTCCCCAGAGTCCATCAGCGCAGATGGGACTTATCAGTGGAGGCCTGCAACCTGCCTCAGGGCAAGGTCTGTCGGTCATAATGAGGGCGCCAGGTGTCACTGTGTTTCTTGTTAGAGTCACTTTCTAATTGGGGCATGGGATTCTGACTTTCTACTTGGAGTTAGAGTTATATAGGAAGTTTCTTTTACATAAGCAAAAGAAAAACAGCAGATAGCACATGGTAAGCCCTGCTGCGGCATTGCAGGGCCCACGTGGAAAGGCTGAGTGGGGCAGTGGGTTGGCATAGCCCAGCTCTTGTTCAGGCCATTTCCAACAGGGACGGGCCTGCTGGAGTGCCGGGTCAGCATGGGGAACCGGCCTTAGCAGCTCCCAGGCAGAGAATCACAGGAGCTGAGAGCTGGGGATCACAGCTGAGCACACGCCACCCCACATCCATCATGGAGCCTACAGCCTGGAGCCCAGAAGTGAAGTGTCCATCTTGACCCTGCACCTTCCAAGTCCAGCTAGGTGACCACCCAGGGCATCTAGAATTTGAAACCAGGATTCCTCCATCTGCCTTGCCTTTTGGAGCGTGGCACCACACTATGGGCAGCCCAGGTCTGGTCCAGAGACCATGCAATGCACATGAGTGTTTTCCACATCTGTAAACAGATGGGTGGTACGGCCTTGAAAAGCTCTTCTGTGTGAGGGGGTCCAGGAGCAAACACCCTCCATCCTCCAGCATCAGGCCCTGTGATGGAGGTGAGGACTTGGGTCCAAACAGCCTAAGCTTTACTTCCCGCTCTACGGAATGGGAGTCATGTGACCCTGAGAAAGTCACTTTAACACCTCAGGGTGTCTGTTCTCAGCTAGCTGTAAGTGACTTGAGAGCGTAGTCTGGGCAGGGTGATGCTGGCAGTGCCAGGAGAGAAGCCTGGTACGTAGAATCCATGGACGAACACAGGGTGTAATGGGGATGCCCATCTCTACCCAGAGGGCTCACGTGGGAGCCTGGTCCCCAGGCTTTGGGGGCTAAACCTCTAGAGAAAGTTCATGGGCATGGCTGTGAGCCTTTGTGCCTCAGCTGTTTGTCTCACTGATGAATACCCGAGAGAAACAAATTAAAGAAGGAAAAATTGGTTTCGGCTCGGGGTTTCAGAGACCAGAGTCTGTGTGTCTCTGCGGGTGAGGGTGGGCGTCCCATTGGGTCCTGTGTCCATGGAGGTTGTGTGGCAGGCCTCTCTCCTGGTACTGCCAGTCTATGGCAATCTGGCTCTATTTCTGGACTGTGGTAAAGATAGCACAGAGGAGGAGAGGAAAGGAGAGGAGAGGAGGAGAGGGGAGGGGAGGGGAGGGGAGGTGAGGAGGGTGTGGTGGAGCCAAGCATTCCCTCATAGACTGCTGTGCCTTTCCTTGAGCACTGAGGGCAGGTGCCCCTCACCTGTGCTCGCTAAGTAAGCTCAATAAATGCATGGTTCACCAGATTGAACTTTGGTGGGATCAGACTCCATCTGGTGTGACAGACGTTTATTCGAATTTCTCCAAATGAAAAGTTCAGGCAAAAGGAGGGCAGCATAGGGCACCATTAGGAAGAGGTGAGCAGGGGTCCTGAAGGTGCCTTTTCCTCTCTCGGGTGAACAGGACAAGTCCTTCCCTGCACACTGTGTGGGACTGGTCCTTCCTCAGGGGCACTGAGGGGAACTCCCCTGCATGATGCTGTAGCTCTTCCCCGTATACAAACTGAATATGCCTCTACACTCACATCCATGCACCCACATCCATGTATTCATACTCCCCACATGCACAGCCCATTCCGTTTGGAGATGCACATTTAGTGCCGAACACTTCTTTAGAATGAGATTAATTTTTATTTCCTCCACAGTGCCAAGGAGAGAGCACCTGAGCCCAGCATCCCTGCTTGAGCTATTTTGGACCAATCTAGGGTTAGCCAGCCCTCAGGTGTGGGTGAGTGCTGGCTAGCAGTCCAGAGATTCCCAGAGGTTTCCCACCTCAGTCACGTCGCCACTGGCCTCAGTTGCAGGGCGGAGTGTGTATGAGCCTTGGCCCTTTTTCTGTTCAGTATCCGGGTACCATGGGCTGCATAATTCATAAAGAACAGGGGTTTGTTCAGCTCTTGGTTCTGGAGGTCCAAAGGCTGTTCCTGATAAGGGACTTCTAAATGGTGGGACTCTGTAGAGTCCCAGGGCTGTGCAGGAAATCACAAGGAAAGACAGGACAGGTAGGCTCCTTTGACAAGGTCACCAGAGCGATTGCAGGGCCCGTCCTCATGTGCTGGTCTAGTTCCAATTACTTCCCAAAGGTGCCACCTCCAGACATGATATTTGGATAAAATTAGCTCCCCCGCCACCACCCTGCCTTTATTTAGACACGTACCCCAGGGTGGCCTGCAACTCAATGAACAGCCCAGACCATGGTGGAATTTACTATATATCCCTGGAGCACATTATCCTCCTGCCTCGGCCTCCTGAGTGCTGGGATTACAGGTGTGGGCCACCACGTCAGTTTCTACCTCTTAATATTTAAAGTGGGGACATTCAAACCATGGCCGAAGTTTTGGCTCAGCCAATGTTGAGCCTTACGATGAGAATCCAGTTCTTTGGTTACTCAGCTTTCTTCCTAGAGTTTCCTATTTAGCTCTCTCTATAGGGCACTGTTTTCTTTCTTGTATTTTATTGAGTACCTTTTACAAACAGACACAGCTTTTATTTTGCCACTGAATTCTTTAATTTCCCTTAAGACCAGCTTTTCAAGAAAAGCCCACTATTTCCCACATGCAGTGTCTTCCTGGAAAAACTGCTTGAGGGAAGGCTTCCTTTTTGTGTCCTTCTCGCCTCTGAAGACCTTCATGGGACCATTATGGTAGTTGCCACTAGAGGTCGCTGTTGAACAAGGTTTGGTGCAGTTTCGTGACTCCCTACCTTGGAAGACTTAACTCTTCCTACACTTAATAACAGCACAGGCCCAAGTGGTGCCTTGGTCTCCTGGTTCACTCACTCCAAATTTAGCAGCTAGTTAAATCTCAAGCCAGACTGTACCATCAGCTCAGATCATTAATTCAGATCCCCCATTCACCATGAGGTCCAAGGCTGTCTTCTCCTGACAGTAGTTTTCATCAGGCGCACCCCAGTCTATCAGAGAGGTTCCGTGGGCAGTGGCTCTCCAAAGGGGAGCTGTTAAGGATTCCTCTACTTCCCCAAAGCCATCCCTTATCTCACACCACTTCCTTCTCTCTATGTATAAGCCCCAGGGAAGCTGTTGAAGGTACAGCTGCCTTATGGGAGAAAATCCACCCCTGGGCAATGTGGCTGGACATCCCTACTGGCAACTTCATTTACAAATCCACCAGTGCCAAAGTGCCTTGGGCTAATGAGGCTTTCTGGGCTGATTTTTTTCTCTTTTCCTTCTTCTTTCTCTTTCTTTTGCTTTTTAAGACTTCCCCCCTTCCCCCCCAACTCCCGCCTAGGCTGGTCTTAAACTTGTGATTCTCCTGCCTCAGACTCCCTACTTGAACTACCACATCCGACTCCCTAACATCCTTTTGTCCTTCAAAGAATCATCAGGCTTCTGGTTTCACTGAGTGGGTGATACTAATGGGAGGAGCTAGGACTCTGGACTAATTAGGGAGGTAACTCTTGCAACTGATGCTGGGGTGATGGGAGAAAGGGAAGATCTGGGCAGCAGGAGGAAGCAGCTTTGAGGAAGTGCATTGCACGGTTGTGCATGATGAGGCTGCAAATTTCTCCCCTGGCTGCTTACAAAAACGGGCGCTTCTTTTTCTTTTATTGTAGTATTAGGGATCGAACCAAAGGCGTCTCACATGCTCGCCAAGCATTCTGCCATTGAACTACATCCTCAGACCTCTTTATTTCGAGACAGTCTCACCAAATTGCCTAGGCTGGCCTTGAATTTCTGTGTGGTAGGCAAGTCCTTCCCATTCCCAGATGGCAAGGTCCATAGTACTTGCAAAGGTTTGAAGCTAAGCTTGTGAGCTTATGGTTCAAAGAACCTTGTACCCAAGGGGCACAAGACGGCTCTTCCAGGGGTCGCAGGAATCCCTCGGCTTAGCAGACACAGCAAAGAGGAGCTTGTTCAAAGCTGCCCAGCAACACCCACTCGCGATGGCACCAAGCAGCCTGCCAGCGATGGTGATCCAGGTCTCTGTCCGCAGCCTGGATGCCAGGGCACCTGCCAGGCCGGCTCAGGACAGATACTCGCGCACCGTGAGCTCCTTCAGGGTGAAGCCCCTGTGCGTGGGCCTCCGGAGCTGGCTGTCATCCAGCCTGCCCTGCAGCGACGCGAAGTCCTTGCCCAGCGCGTAGGCCAGACGCACCATGGCGTCCAGCAGCGGCGCGTAGTAGCGGTGGCTCTCGCGGGCCCACAGGCGTTGCAGCGCGCGCTCGCCCACCGCGAAGGCCTCGGCCGGCCGCTCCAGGTCGCGCAGGCACACGAGCGTGGCGCAGAGCGCGGGCACGGCGGCGGTCGGGCAGTGCGCCGTCAGCTTCTCCTGCAGCGGCACCACGCGGCCCAGCAGGTCGAGCGCGCGCGCGTACTGGCCGGCGCGCAGGCAGCCGAAGGCCTCGCGCAGCTCGGGCCGGGTGAGGAAGTCGGCGAACTCGCGGGAGCGGCGCACCGCTCGCACGGCGTAGAGCAGGCGCAGGTAGTCGCGGAGCTCCAGGCGGCGCTCGCAGATGGTCTCCGCAGACAGGTTCCCGGTCAGGCGCTTGCGCGGGAAGGCCACGTCCTCCAGCTCCGGCCCGAAGCGCTTCAGGAGGGCCTTCTGCAGCCTCTCGAAGTCCGAGTAGCGTCGTTCCACCACCGCCTTGTCGCTGTCGAAGCTGCCGGTCTGGACGATCACGACCTGATACATCTGCAGGCGGAACGGAGAGGCTAGACTCAGGACACCCCGAATGCACGCCGTGTGTGTAACCGAGGTGGTCAGCCTGAGAAGCAAGTGCTTCTACTGGCTGAGTCATCTGGTGGGCCCTCTGTCATTTTCGTGCATGCATATAACATACTTTGAGGATGGTCACACCCCCACCCCTACCCCCACCCCAACACCGTACACTTGGGCCTGATCCCCGTTGTACTAGCTAACAGTAAAGGTAGTTCCTGGCAAATGCTGGCCCTAGAATAACAGTGCTTAGAAGCAATCTTGGAAGAAAAGGAACTTGCTAGTGGAGCTGGGCTCTCTCTTGTTTTGTTTTTATCATAAAAAACAGGGCTCCGAGTTCCGGATTGGGAAGCGTGGGCTGGAACAGGGAGCGCTTGGTGGGACACCGGGACATTTATTTCAGGTATAACACATCTAGGCACGTTAGTCTTCGGTTGGTAATTTCACCTCTCGAGTTTCGGTTTCCCCATCCCTAACTCGAAGACAGGATTAGTTCCTGTTTTCTACTGAGGATTGAGTGAGTGAGAACTCCCTGATGGATGTGAGGGAGAGCTGTGCTCAGCATGCACCCACCAGCAGCTACTGTAACTGTACTGGCCCCAGTGAGGAGGAGCCCTGGGGTACCCTGGTCCCAGTGGGGTGGGAATGGTTGGGGTTGGTGTGACTTCTCTGTCTTCCTAGGACAGGCTGATGCCCCCATCTCTCAAAGGTGGCAGCTCCCAGCAGGGCGCTTACCACAGCCACAGCAGCCGCCAGACTTCAACAGGAGTTCAGCTTGCTTTTGTGTTTACTTTTGTAACTGGTTTTTCTTAATGTCATGTGAAACTGATCTTTCACTGAAATGTAGTGTTTTTTTTTTTTTAAGTAATTTGAATAAAAACCAAGGAAGTAGTTTGGGTGATATCCGCAGACTCGGTGGGGAAGGGGTGCAGATGACAGACACCTGGCATCATGGGATCAGGAACGTGACCCACACATCTCTCATCTTCCTGGGACCCTGCATGTGGTACCATGAAACCTCCATTTCTTGGAAGACTATGGGTTAGTGTGTCGTGTCCTGGGTGGAAAGCTGAGGCCCCCCTGGACCTTCCCAGGAGCACGCAGGAGGTGACGACGGGGCTCCATCCCGTCTAAGCTCTGCTCACCACAAACTTGGAGACTCTCCTCTCCTCAATGCGGGCTGAGGCGATCTCAAAGAGCAGCTTGACATGACGCCAGCGGCTCTTCTCCTTCTGCCAGTGTTCCTGTAGCTCCTTCGTGGTCATGCTGGAGTTGGAGGTGGGGCTGTCTTGGGTTTCTGGAAGGACAGTGCCTTTAAGGAGTCTGCAATAGGCAGTGCTCTCTAGGCAAGGGATGGGGTGGGGGCAGATGACTGGGTCTGCTTGGGATGGGCTATCAGAGTTCTGGAAGAGCATGCCCTTCCTCCCACCCTCACCGTTGGGGCGGCAGCCAGGCCCCTGTGAGTCTACCTAGTGTGTTCACCACAAATAATGCAGCACTTGACTGCTTCTTGGTATGAAGTGTGGTGTGGAAGTGTTGCATCACCCACTTCCGGCCTGCTGATGGACCATTTTGTAACCATGTGCTCCTGGCAAACAGGGACCCGTCCATGTTTGCTTCTGTACTCCCTACAACATTGGTTCCAGGTTTGGCCATGGAGCCATGGAGCCCCTTAGTGGAGGAAGCCCCGAGGAGGTCATGTTTCAGCCTTAACTGGGGCGGTCCTTGCTATACTAACACTCGCGGGGTGCATCCGTCACCCTCTGCTTTTAAGTCAGTCCTCCTGTTTTCTTGCCGGGAAACCAAAAATATTCTGTATTTTTTGCTGTTGTTTTATTTTGAGACAGGATTTCTTTGTATAGCTCTGACTGTCCTGGAACTCTGTAGACCAGGCTGGCCTTGAACTCAGAGACCCGCCTGCCTCTGCCTCCCAAGTGCTGGGATTAAAGGCGTGCGCCACCACTGCCCAGCTGTCAACAGTGTTTCTTAAGCCTCACTTGAGCCCCACACCTTTCTGAGAATCAGTGTAGTTTTCTACAACACTATTGCATAAATAATTGTGCATTTATTGCAAGAAGTGAAGGTCTGGGAAATCCTTATCTTGTCCTACGTGACTCACATGTCATCCCTCCACCCACCTCTTGATACTGGGGTAAGTGCCTCCCATTTTGTTACAGTAGCCTTTCTGAGGTACTTCTAATTATTTTCAATGTCACCCTGCTGAGCTTGAAGGCCAGGAGATTATCAGTTTTACTTTCTGTGCTGGGGGCACGCCCCAGGCTTCTGCAGATCCGTCTTGAACGGGTGTAAAGAGAGATTACTCCAGGAGATGGCACTATTGCAGGTATTGTCAGTGCCAGGCTAGAACCCATTGGCAGCCATTGTTCTGGAATGTGCTATTGGCTTCTTAAGGGAGGCCCCTCGACTCAGGGCCCTGGGGCTTTTCTAGGGCCACAGCAGCATGCTCAGATGTCTCTTCAGCATTTACAGAAAGGGATGCTGGACAATCTCTGGCTTCTTTGTCCCTTGATTGCACAACTTTGTTATGTTCTTTACATCTACCCAGTCATGTGATCATCCACCCCCTACACCAGATGCTGCTCTTGTTTCCAATCTCTGATCTGCCTCCAAGGGTCATCTCCCACGTAAAGAGTCTGCACCAAATCCTTGTCTTGGGGCTGCTTAGAGGTGACCCCAGTTAAGACAGCTACCCAGCTACCTTGGTGCAGCCATGGAAGAGCTTTAAATGTCTTTGAACTAACTTCTACCCCCCCTTCCCCCCGCCCCGCACTGAACCCCAAATCCTCAAGTTTACCTAAGTGTTCTTCTGGTCCGGGACATGGGAGCCCCCCCCCCCCCCCCCCCGCACTGAACCCCAAATCCTCAAGTTTACCTAAGTGTTCTTCTGGTCCGGGACATGGGAGGTCTGGTCTGGAGGGCAATATTTCTTGCCTGGTCCTTGGTGTGCGTTGGTTTATGAGTCCTGTCCAGCCAGGGCTCCCAGGATGCTCCGAACTTGCCATGCTCCAAGGATGCTAGAGGTACAAGAGGGAATAGTGAGAGCCAACTCACACTGGGGCTCCTGCAGGATCCTGGGGTGCTTGGGATTCTGGCTGTAATCTATGCTGGCAGGCATGGGGGAATGATAGTAATCACCTTGCTTGGTTCTGCGCTGCCCACCCAGCCAGATCAAACCTAGCCTGCCCCTCTGATGGGCAGACAGACCCTGAGTGATCCATGGAGTATACTGTTGCTCTGGACTTCACATGGAGTAGTATCAAGTAACAGCAATAACTGGAAATTACCCGGGAGAACGATGCGGGCTAGTGCAGATAAATGTCCCACCACCCAGTTTTATATTACAGTGCAGTGCCTGCCCTACCTATCTACCTTTAAGCAAATATTTAATATGCCTAGTTCATCTCATCTGGTTCTTCATACTTCCTTCGTTTGTTTTTTCAAGACAGAGTTTCTCTGCAAACTGGCTGTCCTGGAACTCGCTCTGTAGACCAGGCTGGCCTGGAACTCACAGAGATCCACCTGCCTCTGCCTCCTGAGTGCTGGGATTAAAGGCATGTGCCACCACCGCCCGGCTCACCTTTCCTTTTTAATAGAGCATGCACAAAACTTTGCCAAATAACAGATAAGGAAACAGGTCTAGCCCTAGGTCTTGTGGTTGGTGAGTGTACAAAGGGGCAAGGTGGAACATTCTCCAAGACAGACACTGTCTGTAAATTTGTCTTTGCATGTTCTCAATGCAACCACCCTCCTCTGCAGGGCTGTTTATATTTTCACTTTGTGGTGAGGCGCTGAGGCGCAGGGCTGCCCGACAGCAAGGGCTGAGGTGTGGATCGGGACAAGCCCCAGTTGGCTGACAACAGAATCTTTGCTCTTACTGACGTGGACAGGAGGCAGACAGCAGGTTTCCAGTGTCCAGTCTGTGCACAGAAGGAAACGGATGACTCGGTAGCTATCGGGCCACCTAGCTTCTCTGTGCCTCAGTGTCTTATAAAACGGGTACACTATCAGAACCCTCCTTCACAGGCTGGGGTGAGGATTAAGTCAGGCCTACCCCTCAAGCTTGGACTCAGGGCCCTTCACACACCAGGGGCTGCACAGTCCTTTCTGGTACTAGGATCTGACGTGCATTAGGCGTTTGAGAAACAGTAAGGAACAACTCCAGTGTACGCTTTTACAGATAGCTGCAAATGAGAAGAGATATAAACACATCCTTTCAGATGAACAAATGGCTGGGCACCCTCCTAGACACAAGGGTTAGGTTTTCTTTTCATCACTGATGGAACAGCTAACACAAAAACAACGGAAGGAGAAAGGGATTATTGTGCCCAGTTTCCGGTTTCAGCTCATCATGGCAGGGAGAGCATGGGCAGAGTGCAGCAGCTCACCTCCAGGGGGCCAGGAAGCAGAGAGGAGGGAAAGGGGGAGAGGAAGGGAAAGGAGGAGAGGCTATGGCTACATTAACAGAGGCCTTTCCCACCTTCTTGATTTTTCTGACGTGTGTGTGTGTGTGTGTGTGTGTGTGTGTGTGTGTGTGTGCGTGTGCATACGCGCGCTTACACATGCCCCACAGCTCATGAAGAGTCTGGAGGTCTTATGGCAGCTCGCAGGAGAGGGCTCTCTCCTTCTACCGTATGAGTCATGGGGCTTGAACTCGTGTCATCAGGCTTAGTAGCAAACACCCTTACCTGCTAAGGCATCTCATTGAACCACACTTCCCTCTTTTCTTCCTAGCCTTTGGGATAGTGCTACCCACATTCAGGGTGGGTCTTCCCCTTTACTTAGTCATCTGTGGAAACACCCCACAGTCACGTCCAGAGGTATGTTTCTCTTGGCTCCCAGGGTATTGTAAATCCAGTTAAATTGGCAAGATTAACCACCATGGTACAGGAACTCAAAGGGGGAGTAAGGGTGTCATCACCTCCTCTCAGGACTTTCGGCTTGGCCTGGGGAGGCTAGTGGGCCTCGAGCCTATGCCTCAGGAGGCTGTTCTTGATATGACAGATAGAAGGACCCCTGAGCTGTTTTCTGAGTGACTTCTAAGCAGTAGTCCGATAACTACCTTCAGGGACCCTCCATCGAGCCTCACATTTATGGGTGGGTAAACTGAGGCACAGAGCCAGGGCCTGGGTGACCCAGTGCTGTAAATGCTTGGATACTCAACAGATTGTGTGCGTTGCCAACCCCTCAGCCCTGTGGAGGAGTCAGGAGACATGGCCTCCAGTCCGGCTGCGAACTTACGGCCCCTGGGAAAGTTATTTACTGTCTTCCGCTTTCCATTCCCCCCTTTGCCTCTGGGAAGGGTGGCTATGAGCCTTATTGCACTCATGTTGATGTGATGGGTCCCTCAAGTTCTGCTAAGCTAGTGGTTCTCAACCTCTGTGATGCTGTGACCCTTTAATACAGCTCCTCATGTTGCGGGGACCCCCAACCATAACATTAGTTCATTGCTACTTCATAACTGTAATTGCGCTACTGTTATGAATCGTGAAGTAAACATCTGATGCAGAATATGTGACCCACAGGTTGAGAACCCCTCTGCTAAGTGCTAAAGCAAGACAGTAGGTGGTCCATATGCTGTCATATTTAATGGAAGTTTTTGGAGACACTGCCACACTGTTTAGCCAAAGCCGCCTGGGACTCATAATCTTCCTGCCTCTGCCTCCCAAGTGCTGGGATTACAGGTGTGTGTCACCACACCTGACTTCTCTAATGGGGACTTAGTGTTTTCCGTGGGCACTGTGCGCTCTTCCTCTATCATTTTGTCTGTGAAGCCAATGGTGGCATGTGGAACTGGCCTTAGTGGTCCAGGCCTTTCCAGATGTGCTTTCTTGATTTGGGCATCTGGTGCCAGGGCAGAAGCAGGGAATACCTCCCATGGGGCCTTGGGAGACCTCAGAAATGTGCCTCCCACCCCACCGCAGCTCCTGGGCATGACAACCATTCTTTCCATCTTCTGGGTGCCTTGCTCCCCACTTCTAGGGCTCCTGCCCTCTTCAGTCCTCCTCCTGGGTACACAGGGCCACTTGCAGAGCCTAGGCCACCTTTTCTGGGGGCTTGCAGAGGGGATGAGCATCTAGTAGAATGTAGAAAAAGCCTTACTCTTCCCCGGAAGACAGAAGAATTGAGAGGCCCCCATTCAAAAAGAAGACGGGAGGAAATGCCAAAGTGGCGATTGAGTTTCACTCTAAACCCCTTTCTTTCTTGGGCAGGTTTCCCAGGTCTTCACTGGAGTGGAGTGCCATCTGAGGCATGCCCACCTGTCCTGCCAGGGGAGGGGGGGCAGCATGGGACCCCTGGGGCTTCCTTCTCAAGCCTGTTGCAGGAAGTGCTCTCAAACGTGGGTGTGCATCAGAATCCCCGTTGGGATGGGAGAGAGGAAGTGCCTGCCGGGGGTTCTAACAAAAGCAGGCTGTCTACCTCACAACACCCAGACAGCCTTGGGGTGGGCTCTGGATCCTGTGCTCTGTTTCGGGGTCATCAGTTCCACTCTCTGAGAAACACAAGTCTAGATCTGTTCCCAGGAACAGGAACGGTGCCTGGCATTTCCAAAGGAACCAGGACTAGAGGTGGAAGGGGGTATTCCCAGTTTGCCCCCAGTTTCTAAGGACTGCCCTACAGGTAGAGGATCTTGCCAGCCTTGATCCTCCCTGCTCTCTCCCCAGCACGTTCCCAGAGGGTCTCTCTAAGAGCTCACTGAGTCTCAGTGGGCAGAAGCCAGCTGAGCTTGGGGCCAAAGAGTGACTGACCTGGGATCTTCAGGCTTTGTGGGTCCAGGGGTCCAGGAGAGTCACATGTCCCACTCGGATCTCTGTTGTAAGGTCCAACAAGACGGTTGAGCGCCGTCGGCTGCTCTGCTGAGTTCTCTGTTTGAAAACAGGAAATAGGCTGAGTGATCTGCTTCAGAGGTCTCAGTTTATTGGCTGCTGAAGGATGTACACAGGAACTGCACAGAAAAATGTTTGCAGTGCATCAGACAGGCCATGTGGTACAAGGCCACCCACAGGAGGGCAGTTTGACCTCACTTCCTAGCAGCCCTCAGCAGCTCACTACTTACTAGATGCCTGAACAATCTCTGGCATTTGGAGAGTCGATCCCAAAGTCCTTTATTTTAGTCCTTTTCTGTGGCAATGCCAGAAGACCACAGACTGAAAAAATTCCACACAAAAAAAGTTTAAAAAGCTGATAGGTCTGGATCTGGGACATCTAAGAGCACAGTGGCAGTGTCTGGTGAGGGCTCTCCTGCCACACGTGACATGACATGGCAGAAGGTGGACAGGAGATCTACCTATCTTATATACCCCAGTTCACAGTTACGGCATGAATCCCTTTATGAAGACTATCCTCATGAAGTCACCCCTCCGAAGGCGTCACCTCCATGGTGTTGGGGACCACAGTCTAACATAAGGATCTGGGGACACATCCTTTTAGTAGTTGTTGTCCTGGCTATGGGCTAGGCATCACGGGGACCTTCACGTTCTGTTGACAGATGGGCGAAGTGCAGTTTGGAACACTGAGTTGGTGGGATGCAGAGCCCGTGCCGGACACGGGACATAGGGTGGCCTCCACGCTCCCACTTGGAGGTAAGCAATGCCCATGATTAGTGACAGAAAGTTCCAGGGAAGGCAGACCACAGTGCAGGGATGTCACTTATGGCCACCAGTGTGTGTGGCCTCAGGAGAAAGAGTCTGGAGAAGGACAAAAATTAGAACCTTTCTGCCTCTCCCCGAAAGGCCTTTCGTGTGTCCTTCTAGCCACACCCTTCCCTCCTGGGCACAAGTGGCAGTGCTCCTTCTGTCCCTCCTTCATGAACTTGACACCTAGGAATATATTTGTGACACCCGACTTCATTTTACTCACTTTTGAAGTTTATATGCATCAATCCATGTACACTACTTGAATTCTTTGGTGTCTCTTTCCGTCAGTATTTATGTGTGTAGGAGTTAATGGTGTGCGTAAGCATGTGTGTGCATGTACAGTGTGTTTGCTGCTGAGTTTTGTATTTTCCTATTGTCCCATTGTTACCTTATTTGAAAATGTCACTGCTCTCCCTTCCTGGAATTGTGATGTCCACCTGCACTGTTTCTAGAGTATCACCATAATTGCTGTGCTGGTTCAATTCTTAGGCATTTAACCACGTCCATGTGACTGTCTGAGGGGACTCTGTTGGGTCTTTGAGGAAGCGGGTCTCCAACTGGACCGGACTGGGCCAGGCCACTGCCTGGGGTGGCCATCTTGCACCTCCCCAGTTATTAATGAGCCAAGCCGTACCTTCTCTGTCCTTGACATGGTTAGTACTTCTTGTAGCCATACTACAGCGTGGGCAGTGGTGTCATCTCATAGCTCACATTGTGACTCCCAGAGATGAATTATGGTGGACACCTTTCCATGGGCCTCTTACCCACGTGTCTCCTCTCTGTTCAAGTCCATCGCTTGTCTTTTATTGAATTACTTTAATGGCTGTAGAGAGGCTGTACATGCTCCTTTGGGTACCTGGGCTTCTTAATTCCTCTCCCTCCTGAGGCTCACATTTGTACTTAATGGATCGTGTGATAAATAGGCATTGTCAACCATGCTCAACTAGATCAATCTTGCTCTTCACAGTCACAGAGGTTTCGCCCTTATTTGCATCTGCTTCAACCCATAGGCCCCCAGGAAGCTTAGGTTGAGTCAGGAGGTGCTGAATATTAGATGGTATCACGCTGAGTGTGTGAGCGCTGGCAAGTGATGTCATGCTAAACTCTTCATCGTTTGCCTTTCTTCTCGGGGCTCTGTACCTCAGCTGTTTACCTATTGGTCCTGTTTATGGAAATGTCACCCGATCCCGTCTCCCCACACCGGCATCACTGTCCCACCAAGAGCACCCATATCCAGAAGAATTTGTTTCTGGCATGGGCCAGAACTACTGTGTGTGCTGTGCCTCTGGCCTGCCAGTCCTGGCGGCCAGGGCTGTCGCTCGCTCTTTTCCCTCTGCCTCCCATTGCGGAGAGGCCGTGTGACTCCGCCCCTCCTCTTCCCGCCATGCAGCTGGCCAGTTTCTTGCCCAATCTCTGCCCAGGCTTGAAATCTGTGAGAGGCCACAGCAGGCTCCGCGTCCTTCTCCACACCCTATGAGCTCATCACAGCAGTTAGCGACCACAGGGCAACAGTGTGACAATCTCCGCTTCCTCTTTTGGGTCTGGGGCCTGTTTTTTGGAAACCACCTGACACGGAGGTGTGCTCAGATTCTGTTGGAGGAACACAACTAGGTCAGTGTGACCAGAAGACTTTGTCACCCGCCGGGGGTTGGCTGTTCTCTGCAGACTAGAGCCTGATGGGGGGCAGGGGGAGGCAGGCGAGGGCTATGTCATGTCCACTTGAACTGCTATAACAGAGTGCCCTGTGCTATGTGGTTTAACCAACCAATGTTTGTGTCCTACAGTTCTGGGGCCTGGGAAGTTTAATACCCTGTGATGGCAGATTCGGTGTTTGGTGAGAGGCAGTTTCCTGGTTTCTGGATGGCTATTTTTTTGTTGTGACCACCCATGGTCAGCCGAGGGCTAGAGAGTCCTCAGGGGTCTCCTTTTTAAGGGACAGAGTCCCATAATGTCTTCATCCCATGACATGGTCGCCTCCCAAGATTCCACCTATTAGGGCCATCACATTAGGTGTTAGGATTTTAGTGCCAAAATCTGAAACATATTTGGTCTGTAACAGAGAAGAACAGGGTGGGCCAGGACAGAACAGGGGGCATCACTTGTGGCCATACCAAGGCCAGGGGTAGGGGGTACCATGGAGTCAAGGAGGGGAGATTTGGGCATCTTAGAGTCAGGTACCCTTTCTGGAATCCAAAGTCAGACTGTCTCCTTCTCTGATCTATCAGTGATGTCCCACCACATTCAGAGCCAATCCAGACTCCATCCTCTCTCCTCTCCTCCCAACCTCACTGCCATGTTCCCAGCATTCCTTGCTGCCCTCAGCAGAGCCACGATGGAGCATGGTGGAGGTGCGAAGACTCGCCTGTCCAGGAGTTTCCTTTTTGGAAATACCCTTCTTTAGGTTCTTTCCATGTGGGCTTTTTCTTCCCTTGGCTTGCAGCTTCCTGTCTGTCTCCCTGTTGCCTTTATAGGCAGCCTGCTCTTAACCTCATGCCACCTACCACCGTTGGCATATCTGTTTACTTCTTGTCTCGAACACCACACCGACAAGGAGCTAGGCCCAGGTTGGTGGTCTGTCCCCAGCACTCAGCACAGTGCCCACACTTACTGGTTGCTCAGTGGGTCACTGCTGTGTGACAGAGTACATGAGCAATCGGATGAATGGTGAGGACATGCAGAAAAGGAATTGGGCTGTGGCTCCGGCTCAGGCCCTGACTCAGTGTGCACCTGGGCCAGCCACCGCTCCTGTCTGAATGGCAAGGGGATTAAATCAGTCCTTTTTATGTGCAAGCGCTCTGCGTCGAGTAATAATTCAGCACCAGAAATCGCTGCTCACTCAGTCCCCAATGCCTCAAAAATAGAAGATGAATAAACACATTGCTGCCTGCCACCACTCCAGATAGCGAGCCTACTTGAGACTACAATACTGAAACTCTTTTCCGAGAAATTAAAAGGAGTTGGTGATCCCTGGGGGGGAATCTCTCCAGGTGTGCAAAGAAACCTGAGCTGGCCAGGTGTTTTGCAAGTGACCCCAAACCCGGTGATGTCACTTCTCATCTTTTTGCAGCTGTGCATGCACGATGGGCCTTTAAAAAAAAGATTTCAAAGGTTATTAATTCTACAGGGCTTTTAAACTGGGGCCGCAGACCAAGTGTGCTGCTGGCTGATTTTGTGGCTGCGTTAAGATGCAGTGGGAAGGACGAGGGCGCTGGCCTCCTTTCTGCACCACAGGCTTACAGAGCCCGCCGCTGTGCTGGGCCTCCTGGTCTCCGCTCAAGCTCAGGACCGTCAGGCTTCTGATCTATGTCAGGAATTGCTATGAAGTGGAGACAACGAGCTTTTCTCATCAGGCCTGTTATGTGATGACGTCATGATGAGTGCTTGGGGCGGGCAGGAGTGGGGTGAGATCTGGGCGCTCTGCTGGTTTTCCAGGTCACACAGATACAAGGGCACCGCCTCCCACAGAGAGCTGTTCAAGGAAGAGGCCGAGGAACCATTTCTCTTTTCCTTTTTTCTTTTCTTGTCTTTCTTTCTTTTTTTTATTTTTTTTTTTTATTTTTGAGACAGGGTCTCACTATGTAGTCTTGACTGTCCTGGAATTGCTCAGTAGACCAGGCTGGTCTTGAACTCAAAGAGATCTGCCTGCCTCTGCCTCCCAAGTGCTGGGATTAAGTGTGTGCACTACCACGCCTGACGAGGAACTGTTCGTTTGTTTCTTAACACTCTGTTGGGTGGTGGAATATTTATTTTATCAAAATGGAATTTGTAAACAGAGCAGATTCCAGGAGCATTATGGGACAATGAAGAAGGAGGAGGAGCCTCAACAAGGACCACTGGGAAAATGTGGATGGGAGAGCTGGCTTTTGTTTGTTAGTTGTCTGATGTCTGTTCTTGGGCCTGTTGCTATAACAAAGCACCACAAACCATCTGGCTTATGAGTGACAGAAGTTTATTCCTTATGGTTCTGGAGGCTGGGGAGTCTGAAGTCAGGAGTCCTGCAGACCAGGTGTCTGCCAAGGGCCTACAGCAGATGGTTGTGTTCCATGGCTATCTTGCCATCATGGGTTCCCTGGGTCTCCTTCATAGGGGCATTAATCCACTTCTGAGGCTCTGACCTCAAGACAGAACTGCATCCCCAACCTCCTAGACCCTCGTGGGTTAGGATTTCACGGTGTAAAACTGGGGAGAATTCAGACATTCAGACCAGGTCACAGCAAGACCTTCCCAGTTCACTGATGAGTTTAGGAATGGCTTAGGACAGGAGGTGGGGTCCTGACAGGATGC